GGGGGGGGGGGGGGGGACAACGAGCAGGCTCTCCTTGTCGGCGGGCTTTACATGAACCGCCTCCAAAACGTACGGCACCACGATAGACCCTCGAACAGGTTTTATCGCGCCGGCGATCTTCACTGATGATTCAACAGTTAGCTGTCCAAGAATCACTATGATGAGCTGTCCAAGAGTGACTATCCACCGTGCTCAAAGACCAACTTGACTGTATTTGCTGGAAGGAGAGAGATGTCTACAGTAGGCCGTGAAGTCAGCCGTCTCCAAGCGGAGGGTGTGCAAACCCGATGAATGAAAAATCACATGGCCAGGGGGGTGTAGCCCCTGAGTTGGTCAAAACGTTGACCTTAGATGACGAGGATGGTCTCGGCGGCAGTCGCTGCCTGCAGAATCGGCCAATCAACATCGAACCAAATTTTGATTGACTAGATTTTTTGATGCGGCAGAGGTGGAGTGACTCTCCCGTACCACGCGCGGTACTGGTTGCACGCGGACAATACTGTAGTCATTCAGCGGAAGAAACCAGAGAATCACAAGGCGTCAATGTCAGCGAGAGAGAGAGAGTGCTGCCGCTTATAAAGGACAAACGAAGTTTTGCTTCTTGTTGTGCTTGTGCTTCTGGGTGGTGCTGCTGCTGCTTCTTCTTCTGCTCGACCGCCTATTTCCGGAATCATGGTAGCAGTTGTGGTTGCAGTGTGATGTTGTACCGCAACAAGCGTGCAAGCCTCGTTTGTTCCGGAACACAATGTTCTCGTGGAACCCGTGGCGTGCTGTACCGTAAACTCCCCTCTCCCCCGGCCTCCGCGTTCGTGTTACCAATTTCGTGTTACGACTTGTGCCTTTTTTGGTGTCCCGCGCTTCGCTCTCAGACCGACGTGCTAGGTTCTGCGACGGGGATTAAGTTGTACGCTACCGCGGCCCTCTGGGGGAACCGCATGGACCTCAGCATCTGGCCAGTGGAGAAGGGTGAGGAAATGAGGGGTTTGGGTGGGCGGGGGGGGAGGTTCGACACCCTCATATAAAAGTATGGAGGGAGGCAGGCAGGCAGACAGACAGACAGACAGACAGGCACACAGATAGAGGCAAAGAAAGAGCGAAGAGAGTCTTACAAGCACATGATCCTTACCCCTTTGACCAACAAGTTAAGCAAGTGCAAGCGAGCGTGCAGCCGAAAATCCCTCTTCTTGTGGTGGAAACTGTGTAAATTGAACAGCAGTAAAACCTCTTTCCACGTGGGACCTTGGTCTTGCGTCCAAGTTTCGCCAGTACTGCTGTACTCAGAAACAGTTTCGACTCGACTGGCGGTTATGTAGGACAGGGGCAAAGACAAGGAGCAACACGCCGCTAACCAGAGCCAAACCTATACGTACCGCGCCTGTTGGCGTGCTGAAACCGCGACACCCCCCCACAATACCTCGGCAGCGCCTCCCACATGACACTTTTTCGCACTCTACTGCTGAATATTTGAGCTGTTGTTGTTGTTGTTGTTGTTGTTGTTGTTGTTGTTGTTGTTGTGATGGCGTTGGTGCTTACTTACAGAAGGTCGCTTTGACAGAGCTGCCTCTGCACAGTCATGTCCTGTTACGCACCGCACCGACCCGTCGCCACCGCCGCCGTTGCTTGCTTCCTGATTATGATGTTCGCCGTCGTTGTCGTCAATCATGCCGCCCACGCCGCTGCTGCCGCTGGTGCTTGTGCTGGTGCTTGTGCTGGTGCTGTGGCCGCCACCTTTGTGTTGCTGTCGTGCACAGACGGGGCGACCTCCGCCGGGAGCGGAGACGTCTTCTCGCAGGTGCTCGAGTCGAGCTCCGAGAACCTCCTCGCGGACGACGCGGACAGGCTCGCGGAGGCACTCGTGGCGTGCCGGGAGAGGGGAGGAGAGCGGGTGGACATCGTCGTCGACAACGCGGGTAAGAAGGTGGGGGGGGAG